TTTCGGCTATACTTTTAGTCATTATCAAGGATGATTTTGTTATTTTTAATTGGGTGTATGGGTTGTGTGTATGTTTTTAGAGTTATAGGGATGTTTCATTTTCCGAACACGGCACATTGTGGCCGTGTTCATAGTGAACTCACAGTAAAAAATTACATAAATATTTTCTACAAAAACCAAATGTACATCGACTACAAACAAGAGGAATCTTCACTTAGAAATACCATAAAGAAATACACTACCCCAATTGACCCGAACAAAAAAAAAATCAAATTAATTATCTACAACAAAAAATTTAAAACAGTTATCCTCAAAGATAACTACACACCAGGAAAATCAAAATGACATCGAACGAACATTATCTATGAGTTCAAATGCCCTTAAGGAACTGTGTTTCTGATCAAACGGAATTCATAAATAATTATATCAGTCATACAACTTCATGCCTATCCAGATGCCTTACGATATACCTGTCTGACCACAGCTCTATTAGAACCCATTTAAACACACATACAAACTTACCAGACTCCATCCGAAACATACTAGTAGAAAATACAAACATAATAACCTCATCCACATGTAAAAAAAGAGTAAAAATAATGGAAGACTTAATAATAAATAATAATAATATTAACTTAATTATATTAAATACGAATACGGCCACAATGTGCTAAATGTGTTCGGAAAATAAAACATCCTTATAACTCTAAAAACATACACACAACCTATACACCCAATTAAAATGGAAAATAAAATGGAAAATAAAATCATCCTTGATAATGGCTAAAGTATAGCCGAAAGCGCTCGGAATTATAGAACATTTGGACAATTTCTACACACTCTGTGTTCAGAAAAGAAAACACTTGTTTGAACGCAAGAAAAATGAAATAAAAAAGCTTAATCGTAGTAACTTGTCTGTCGTCTTTAATGAAGCATATATATATATATATATATATATATATATATACTTCATAAAAAGAATAAGATGGAAAGCCCATTTCTTTTTACAACCAGGACCTTCACAATGACACAACATTCAAGAAAAAATACGGCTTTAAAACCAAAAAATGCCCCGCAATAAAAAGAATTAGACGAATTCGAGAAAGACTTAACTGGCCTAGTTAGAAACCTAAAATTCTATAAAAAACAAGATGCATTAAAAAAAAATGAAAGAAGATATAACTAAAATAAACAATTCAACAAATGTATTTATCGCAGCGGAGAAATTTATATGAACTAACCCCCCCCTACACACACTAAATTACTCACGAACAACATAACCAAGACATACAAAAAGGCACCCAAAACAATACAAAACACGATATCAATAAGGAAGCTATAGCAATCACCCAAAAATTAGACCTGGATGACTGAATAAGTTGTATCAGCAAGACACAAGCCTTTATCACACTAAAAGACCACAAAGAAAATTTCAAAACCAAACCTGCATGCTGATTCATAAACCCAGCCAAAAACGAACTAGGAATTAAAATGATACTAGAAAGAATTAATTCTGAACTTAGGAAGAAGTTAGGAGTAAATCAGTGGAAAAACACAAAAGCAACTATTGACTGGTTCCACAACATAAATAACAAACATAATTGCCAATTTATACAATTAGACATAAAAGAATTTTACCCATCCATAACAGAAGCCATGCTAGATAAAACCATCATGTTAGCCCAGGAACAAATAAAATTAAACACAAATGAAATCGATATCATTAAATACTCTCTTAAATGTCATTCCACAATGAAGACGCATGGGTAAAGAAAGAAGAGACACTACAATGGGGAGATTTGACGGTGCAGAGACCTGCGAAATCATAGGTATATACTTACTACACGAACTAAGCAAAATAATAGATAGAAATAACACAGGACTTTACAGGGACGACGGTTTCATAATCTTAAGAAACTGTAAAAAACAAAACTAGAAAAGCAATAATAAAGATTTTCAAAAATAGCGGATTCGATACAGATGTAAAAACTAACCTAAACGAAGTAGATTTTCTAGATGTTACCTTCAACCTTCAATCGCCTTCAATAGTCAAACAGATAACAAAATCGATTAACTGCAGGCTTTCCGACAATTCTTCCAATGAAACCATATTTAACAAAGCTAAGAAAGACTATGAAACATCCCTAAAAGATAGCGGATTCCCAGCAACACTCACATATTCATCACAGAGCACAAAAATGCCAAAAGGAAGAGAAATATCTTATGATTCAACTCACCGTACAGCAAAAACTTAAAAACAAACGTAGCAAATATTCTTCAAACTCTTACGCAAACACTTCCCGGAATCAAGCACACTTCACAAAATATTCAACAAAAATACAGTAAAAATCAACTACAGCTGCACTGAGAACATGGCACAAATAATAAAAACGCACAACAGGAAATCTATCAACAAACCACCCGAACAAAGTAAACTCACGTGTAACTGTAAAATAAAGAACGAATGTTTCTTAAACGGTAATTGCTTAAAAAACAACGTAATATACCAAGCCAATCACCAAGGTAAAATCACCAGCCAATGAAAAAAAAGTGTAGATAGGATTAACTGAAGGACCCTGGAAACAAAGAAACTATACACACAAAACATCTTTCACAAATAGTAAATAAGCGAACAGCACACTGCTTTATAAGTATATCTGGGAAATTAAAAACAAAACGCAAAGCACACGAAAAATATGATGGAAAATAAGGAAAAGATCATCAGCCTACAACAATCAATCCAAAACCTACAAATTTTGCTTCGAGGAAAAAATAGCTATTATTACCCTCCCAGACCAAAATAAATTATTAAATAAACGATCTGAGCTAATCTCAAAATGCAATCATGAAAACAAAATTTTACTACGTTACTTAAAAATCGAAAACTGAAAAGAATAAATAAAAATAAACAAAATGATAATAAAAAACAAGCAAAATAAATTAACCCAAACAAATAATAAACAAATTAACTAACCACTCACGTTAGAATAGACGAAATAGAATAAATAAAAATAAAAAATAAATACAAAGAAAAAACAAGTAAAAAATAATCAATCCAAATAAATGAATAAAGTAAATAATAAATATCGAAAACATAAAAAATTAAATAAAAATATACAAAATAAAAATGAGTAAATTGTTATGGTAACTTACCCACACACCCATGAACTCTCCCAGCTATAAATAGGAGCAGATACTGCTTTTTGGAGAGGGAAGTTTCCAGCAATCAGCTCTGAGAGTCGGAGCGAACATTCTTGCTGTAACACTCTTGTTTGGTTATGTTTGTATTAATGTTTCTGTTAATATATTTGTTTAGCTCAATTCCTCTCTTGTGTCTTCATTTCTGGCCCTAATAAGGCCACAACATAAATAAGAAAAAACAAGTTAAATAAATTAATCCAAATAAATAAACAAATTAACAAACCGCTTCCGCTAAAATAACGCTTAGAAGAAATAAATTAAAAATAAATAAGCAAAAGCAAGTAAAAATAATCAATCCAAATAAATAAATAAAATAATAAACAAATTAAAAACTGCCTCCCGCCACAATAACAGAATAGACTACAGCAATCAATCGAAAAATTGGACGAAAAATAGCTTTAATTATCTTCCCAGACGAAAACAAACTATTAAATAAGCGACATAAGCAAATCGACATAAAACTTTTTGCTACGTTAATAAAGCATCGAAAACCGAAAAGAATTAATATATAAAATAAAAAATGAAATTAAATAAAAACAAGTAAAATAAATTAACCCGAATGAATAAATAAATAAGTAAATAAACAAGCTACTACCGCCAAAATAACCGCCCGAATAGATTACCCACAATGCACCACTGACCCGTATATATAATCGAGAGAAAACCCAACACTCGCGGCCTGACGATTGCGTCTAGCATGAAACAGCTTGTAGCCTCTGAGTGTTAAATTCAATGTTCACTTTTATATTTACATACGCTCTATCTCTGATATTGACACTTTACCCCATAAATATAGCACACCTTAAAACTATATTTCTTCATATATATATATATATATATATATATATATGAATTACAATATGAATTACAGTTAATGAGATTCAAACGATTTATCTCATACAGATGATCATTTCGTCCATGGGAAAGTGTTTCTTCCCTGGACTTATTAATGCAAATACATTTACTAAAATGAATAAAACGTTTATTCACAGGAAATTTGAAAGGCAAGAAGGAAGAAAAGAAGGAAAAAAGAAAAAATAAAGAATAGAAGGAGAGGGAGTAAGAATTGGCCTATAATAGAGGAGGGAGTTATAAAGAGGGTTAAGGGACCTAATATCTAATTCTTCATATATATATATATATATATATATATATATATATTGAGAGAGGGAAAGGGAGTTTCTGTGTGTGTGTGTGTGTGTGTGTGTGTGTGTGTGTGTGTGTGTGTGAGAGATAGATAGATAGATAGAGAGAGAGAGAGAGAGAGAGAGAAAGAGAGAGAGAGAAAGAGAGAGAGAGAGAGAGAGCGAGAGATGAAATAAATTGGAAGAATTGAGGCGATATACCGACTATTGTAATCTTGAAAATAGAAACCATTTTTTTCTTTCAAATATCCTGTTTCAAAATTCAGTTTTGACCCAGATTACTTCCCTAACTGCAATTGAATTTCAATTAAAGCAATAAAAGAAAAAAAAATCCCAACATCGACGCCTGTTCGTTTTTGGTGAGGCGTGAATTTAATTGCCACACTAACCTCACCTTGAAGGACAGGCAGTTTATACTTTTCCTTTCACGACAATTCCACTTTTACATATGACATTCCACTTCGTACGTGTTCAAATAAAATACACGTCGACAACTAACACCATCAATACGCATGCGCACTCCTGCAGGGAATAAAAAAAAAATTTCAAAAAAGGTGCATTTCAATTTCCCTCCTAATTTCTGCGATGAAGATTTATTATTTACAATCGAATGTATTTACATTGTTCATCTTTGTTGTCATTGTCACAACGGTTCAGGACTTCCCAAGCGGTTACCCATCTAGGTACTCTACAGGCTCAACGTTGCTTAACTTTGGTAATCGTACGGGAATCGATGTTTCTACGTGATTTAAGCACAAATATATCGAGGTTTCATACGACTTATAAAATCTGTTTGAGTTTTTTAATGTTGAAATTAGTCTTTATTATTGTTTGAGTCATTTTAGTTGGATCGGATAGTGATTTTCTAAACCCGGCTTAGATGTTGCACAAGGCCGAAAGTATGGGGCATCCAGTGAAGATCGAACTTACTTCTCAGTCGTAATTGATCTAGCAAGACAGGTTTTCTAACCATTACACCACGTGGAGGTGCCCTAATTGGTTCGCGGATAGACTAGTTTATATTTGCGTCTGTAAGTATTTGGCTTCATTTAGGGGGGATATTATACTACTGCAGTGGACGAACTGGGCTTATTCTAGGCCCCACTGACAAAACGATTCTATGATAAACCTGCTTGCTAAGTTATTGGATCAGAGCATGTACGATGATTCTTTCAATCGACGAGGTAACTTGTCGAAAAGTGTCATTATTTGCAGTAACAAAACCTCAGTAATTGAAACACAAATAATACTCCTACACTTCGTGTGTTCATCAGATAATCTTTATATGGTTGGTTATAAGATCTGCAAACAATAACGTAAAAAGACTTTTAAATGAACAATTATGTTTTCTTCTTTTAGATAAATTAAATGAATTCAATTGCGCATTTGAGGTTTATGAATATAGTTTTTTTTAAATCTGTCTCACTGTACAAAATACTTTTGATTTATTATTGCAAAAGTAACGTATGCTTGATGACTGAGACAGTCGCACATTCGGTTTTCGAGTCAAGAAGAAACATAATCAGACAGTTAAGTGCCATATGTGATACACGCTTGTGTGATCATGTCTCTTTCGATATATGACTCACTAGGCAGATCTTCCCGCAGTAGACTGCCGTTTCTTTCTGCGGTACACGGTTTGCCAAGCAAGGCAAGATAACCCAGCCTGTACTGTTATTCTACCAATATCTTGGTGGTTGAGAGAAAGGAGATGGTTTCATTCACAGCTTTAACCAAGGCTATAGGACACTGCCTGTCCTGATCTTCTACCAATAATTTGGGGTGGGGAGAGAAGAGATAGCTTCATTCCTTTTCCAAGAGTTTTTACGTGTAAATGAATGTAACGAACCCGATTGCCTGTCTTATATTGTTAAGATTGCGCTAATCGATAATCAATTCTGGTAGGTTTTCCAGCTCCTTTACCAGACGCGTATCCAGCAAGTCAGTTTAGCGTTTTTTAGTTTCTATGGAATATAGGAGCAGAAGAGCCATCAAGGTGGCCCTGTTAACACCAAAAACAGAGCACTTTACCAGGGATCGTAACTTGGGAGAACTAGTAATGTGGTTCGATAGGGGTTGAGCGTAGACTTCTTGAGACTGGTGTAGGGTGTGTCTACATGGTATGTGTTGGATCCGACTGTTCGCTTAAACGCATGATTGACAGGCGACTGCTACGTTGCTCTGTTTCGCGACTATTTGCACCCATTTATGGACTTCATGTACCAGAGTAAGGATGGGTTAGTCTCGTCGGTTAATACACTGTGTCATGAGGCTGCAGTTTTTCTTTTTAATCATTTAATCTCGAACAAGGCGATAAAGCCACTAAGATGAATGGGGTTACTGAGTGTGAAGGAAACTGAGAAAATGTTATTGAGAGAGGACAATTCAATTATTGATGTTGCATTTAATTTTTTTTCAAGATCGTAATTGACAGGGAAGCAAGAAGCCGGAACCGTGTTCCACAAGCATGAAGAAACTATTAGCATAGAACTTACGGTTCCATCTAACAATTTCAACAGTGAAATTATGAAAGCTATCTGCCAATCGAGTGCTTCACTTTATGAAAGCGTGGTACGAAGGAGGAAAACTCATCAAAACAATTGATATGAAATAACTTAGCAGTGGGCAACTGATTTAAGCCTAGATGCCAGGTCATGACCAAATAAAATTGCAGATTCTTGATACATAACCAAAGCATCAGATCAGAACAAGAATATTCGATTCACGGTCGAAAGGTTTAATACAGATTCTTTCGAGAAAAAATATTTAGCATGACAAATTGTTTAGAATTGATTTAAGGAGCGTTTTGGAGCTTTCGGACGGATAGTTTAGATATTAGGTTAAAGAACTCAATCTAGTCAAATCCGTGTGTGTACACTACATACGTATATATGGATACAGACGCATACAGGAAGGGGTGTTGCAATTCATCTAACCCCAGGTAGGTCTTGAGACCTGTCAGTCCGAAAGCACGTTCACACAAGATTTTCCGTACAAATTGCGAGATTGTATCCATCGTCGACTTGCTAGGCTTGACGTGTAGCTTATAGCACTTGGTATTTGGGCACTTCGAGGCGGTGTAATGGTTAGCAGGCTTGTCTCTCTAGAACAATTACGAACAATTACGACTTGGTATTCGCTAGTAGCTACCCATCTTAGTACTAAGTTCAAGGTTGATTAACTTCTGATATAGCCGAAAGCGTATGTATGACACTAATATATTTAATATCTGAAACACACACAGATGTGAATAAAGGAAATGTTATTTTTAATAAAGGGTCATTTTACAATTCTCTTTCAACATTAAGAGACAATCTCAGGCAAGTTACAACAGCTGGCGATTTCTTTGTTTTTGCTTTTGCTAAAATACTAACGATTCTCTTTTGCGGTCTTTGAACGCGTGTCTAACGTTTCTGTAAAAGAATTTATCCAATCTCATTGACTAGGATAAAATGTCTGCTTCTTAGCGCCAAAGGAATTGTAAATATTATTTTATTTCTCGTATCATACAATTTCCTTATTTTCTTTGCCTCTTCTTTTTCTTTCTTCCCTTTTCATCAACAATTTTCTTGTTTCTTTTCTTTCTTTTTATTCTACTTATTCATAATATTTCTTTAGTTTTCTTTTCTTTTTTTCATTAATCACCAAAGGTTCTTTCTTTCTTTCTTTCTTTCTTACATGTCTATTTTTTTCTTTTTCCATTTTTCTTTCTTAGAAATTTATCTCTGTTTTTTCCTCCTTGCCCATTCTTCCTCTTATCCCCTACTATTTCCCACTCTCGCTTCCTTCCTTCCTTCCTTCCTTCCTTCCTTCCTTCCTTCCTTCCTTTACCATTGGATATCTTTCTTTCTTCCTTTTGCTTGTTTGTTTTTTCCCTTTCTTATGTCTTTTCTTTTTTTCTTTTTACTTTTTTCCCCTAGTCTTTCCCTTTGTTCCCATTCCTTTGTCTTTACCCGTCTTTTCTTTCCTTATTTCCTTCCTTCCTTTCTTTGGATATCTTTCTTTCTTTCTTTCTTTCTTTCTTTCTATTTTATATGGCTTTTCTTTCTTTTTCTCTTTTTCTTTCTTAAGAATTTGTCTCTGTTTCCTCCTCTCTTTCCACTTCCCTCCTTTCCCCTACTATTTCCCCCACTCTCTTTCTTCTTTCTTTCCTTCCCGCCTGCCTCTCTTCCTTCATTTGCAATTGGATATCCTTCTTTGTTTCTTTTAAAATGTTTCCAATTATTGAACCATTTTATATCAATACGCGGGAAATTTCAGTAAAAATCTGTTTTCTATTTAATTAAAATGAATCCACTTCCAAGTTAATATTGTTTTAATGTAGCGGTTTAGTTTTGGGGTTAGAGACGAGTAGCTTGTTCAATATTTTTTAAAGTCTCGCGTCGAGAGAAACCGTTAATCCACCTTAATCTGTATGAATTTCAATTTAATAAAACTATTAACTTCGCACCGGTTGACCCACCGCTCTCCACCCAAAAGATTTGGTTTTCAGAATTCACATTGTAAACAACTATAAACAGTAATTTCATTTCTTTCTTCTCCCTTTCTTCTTCATTTCTTCTCCATTTCTTTCCTCCTATTGTGATGGAATACACAGTTTAGCTGAATAAAATATTTCGTTAAAAATCCTGGAAGCTTTCTCACCAACCTAATAATGTTTGTAATTTTCATTCTTCTGATAATTACTTGTAGACGACTTCATTTTGAAAAGGGCAAAACAGTGTCTTTATTTTATTATTTAGTTCCAGCGTTGCTAGGAAACGCTATACTACTTCCATAGAGTTGAATCACCCCCATTTTCCATCGTGCTCCACCCAGGCAGCTTCTTACCAAGAACTGCCACTTTGCCAAACATGCTCCTGCATGGATGCAATCTTAAACCATTCAAGTCGTTATGTATCCTCCATATTCGCATATAATTTTCACTTCTTACCATATTCTCTTTCATTTGTATCACTGACGTCATTCCGTAATCTACTTTTAGTGACTTTCGAGCCTTGTCTTGTATGAATTCCAGAAAAAAAAACAACGAATTCTAGCAATAAACATAAAAAATAGCAATTCTAGTATAAAAAGAATGAATTCTAGTATTTAAAAAAATGAATTCTAGCATAAAAAAACAACGAATTCTAGTATAAAGTATCCGAATTCTAGTATAAAAACAACGAATTCTAGTATAAAATCAAAGAATTCTAGTATAAAAAACAATGAATTCCAGTATAAAAAGCAATGAATAAATTAACATACTTTTAAAAATATTAGACTGAAGACTGGTGCTGAAAAAAAAAAAAAAGACACAACACCAAGGCTTTTTTTTGGTAAAACATTTCAGGTATTACAAATTAAAATGGTGATAAAAAAAAGGTGTTTCTTTTCCAAACGGAATTGGATTGTCATTAGATCATGTGACTAAAGGAGAAAGAAGAAGAAAACTTACATCTACTCATTTGTACAGTATTTACATTAGTCGGACTATTGTCCTCATCTTTGTCGCCATATTTGTCACAACGTTTCGGCCGTTGTACGCTCCGGCCTTCTTCAGGTGGTTGGAATTTCGAACTGAACCCTTTATTTCGATCGCTGGGGTAGACTGTTCTAATTGGGGTTTGATGGATGTCAGTTATGTTACCTCCTGCTAATTTTCCCTCTGAAAG